CCAACGGGAGACGATTGTAAGAGTTTCGTCTTCACATCCTCTTTCATCAAATATCCCAGATGAACTGGAAAGTTTATCTCAGAGTAAACACGATCTCTACGGCATTACTAAGGTAGGATTCTAATATACTATAGTAGCGAGTTCAATTCACTCTATACGTCTTAGTTATGTTTTCTACTAATATGTGTTACTGTAATTGCAGGTTGCTTCTGAGCCAACCGCTGTACCAATTACACCAATGGCTCAGTTTGAGCAAGCACTCCGCAGTAAGTGTTAAGATGAGCTCATGTGTTTGCAAGAAATCCATGGAAATAGCTGCTCTCAAAAACATCTCTCGCGTAATAGTGAAGTGAAAAAACCAATCGAAAGATATTCAGACAAAGCATGCTGTCACATACGATAATTTTAATGATTGCCCATTGACCAATTGTTCGAAAATAACCATGAAACCGATAACCGTTACATGTAGATACTCTTCAAAGGCTGTAAATCGAGAAAATCCAACTGACGAGCCAGATAGCTGTTAGTGCCTTCATAAAACGATCCTTGCAGACGGCTACCATTTTTTACAGTTTATTCGATTAATGGAGTATGATATATCAGGAAATAGACTTTTTTCGAATCACGTCTGTCTAAAACAAAATATCCATCGGATAGCGTTGATAGCTTTTTTCGCACAATCTAAGACCGTTACTTTCACCAATATTGGTGAGGTTATGTTTTGCGAACAAAACCGTAGCAATAATGAATATTATTTGAAAGAGAAAAATACTCGATCTCACTTTATATGTGAGAGAATTATACAAAGTTCCCTTTGGAAAAGATTTATAGGACACTCTGTATTAATATAGAGACGTGCGGTTCGAAAATAAATACTGAAATAGTGACACCGTCTTTACTGACTGTGGATCTACTGAATACTTACTATATTGAGTCGATGCCACTGAGACACTAACTAAATTGACATTGATATCACTCAAACAATTAAACTCACTGCAATACTGACGTTCAGCGAAAACGAACTGCACTGATATCGGCGCTCAGTGAAATACCGATTCTGACAGAGTATACAGCTTTGGTACTTTTATTTAGAATGGGTGTGATTGTAGGTGTTGAAATTGATAAGACGTGCTCACACCTAATGTGTGACATTCTTATCTTTGTACGCGAATATTTGTAACTTTAGGAATAATAAAAATTTTTGTTCGAACATGAGAGGTATACATATTTGAAGAAGCAAGACAAAAAACCGAGTTGAATACTTTCTTTTCTCTTATCCAGCAGCGTGATATGATGTATCGACCGAGAAGATAGAAAAAGTGATGCTAAAGATAATTGGTTTCACTCTTCAGCAATGCAAGCCAAAACTTAAATAGAAACATAGATTCAACAAAATAGTCGGAAGAGCAGAAATGAATAAGATCAACTATAAGCAAAAAAAAGAGAAACAATTACACTTGTACGCTCTCATGCAATAAAAACATGCCATGCATTGATATTTCCTTTCCGATGGCGTCTTATTATTCTATTTATATATATATATATTGTAGTCAATGAAAACCAGCATCCGTCCCTCAATGTTTCCATAAAAGCCGATATCAGCGTAGTCAGCATTGGCTGATCGTCAAATGTTTTAGCCAGCTTCAGTATTTCAGTAGCAACAATGCAGTGTATTAAGTGTTAAATAGGCACACTGTCGGTGATTAATAAACTGAATCCACACATCTCTACATAAAAGGAGGCAAAAGTGACAGAGAATAAATAGCACTGTTGATAAATCCCTTGCATTTTGTGCATCTCTTGGCATAATGTTGTCTCACCATATACATGGTCTACTCTTTCACTCGACTACAGAATAAGATAGCCACAAAAAATAGATAGACGTCTTATGCATTTTCTTTCTATTGTATGTTGGATCATGCGTACACAAAATCGATAATGAATATAATTAAACACCGGAGATTTTCTTTCAATGGATAAATTCTCAACGAGACATAAATACATAGAAACACAATTTTATGAGAGAAACGATAATCTTCTTGAATTTCTTATCTTTTAGTGTTGGAAAAATCTGTTTACTCGTATGTTAATTCTGTTTCTCGCAACAATGCCGCAATGTTGACTCACAAGATCGAAGAAGGTGATACTTTCTGGGCATTGAGCCGAAAATATGGATGCACACTAACAGCAATTCTTGCTGCTAATCCTGGAGTAGATCCCAGGAAATTGCAAATTGACCAAATTATTAATGTACCTCGACGAAACGAGTAATAATTTATTGGGAAGACTTCAATTGAAAGCAGTATATGAATTTTTATTTAGCTCTAGCTAACGACGTGTTCGACTCTACAATAAAAAAAAACAAAAAAAATGTCTCAATTAATCTATTGTAAATCATATGATACTCAAGAAAATGAAATAAACAAGCGTGATTTACTATTGCACAGAAACAAAAGAGCACTCATAGACGAGTCATTGGTTGCTTTTTCCGAACATCGCTCTACAGAGAACAAATGTAGCCTCTTTTGTGAATAAATACTTATTTCGTCTCGATGATTGTTATTCCAAATCTTAGTAAACGATCAGAAGCAGAGACAGTTCTTTACAACAAATTAAATTTTTCGAAAAATTCAGTTAAGTTAGATCTCATAGCGAAACAATCAAAAGAAAATTCTGAATATGATCTTTTTATTGATTACAGATGCTTCTGAACCGAGAAAAATTGGAAACAACTTCAAAAGCGGTCTTTTTTTTTACAAGAGCCTCCTGCAGGTTCCAGGAACATTAATGTTAATTTAGGCTTATCACTATGATAGAGAACATATGGGGGTATATTTTAGAAAAGACTGAATAAGTTTCAAATTTGGGAGCGACCGAGTTTTTGATGAGTTTGGAGTTTACTTTTGAATGCTCCAAATGTTTTTTAGATTTTGAACCATGCATGGACCCCTTTTCAAGTTTTACGGGACGTGCGAAAACTCTTTTCAAATTCTGTATTGCAATTATTTTTGTCTATATATTCAGAACACAAAAGATGGCAACCAGTGTTCCTATGTCTGAAGAGAATATAGATATCACTGTGGTGTGATTTGTGTTACGACTACTGGAATGAAATTGCGCAGTATCTTCACGAGCAAACGCAATGATTCAAATTTAACCAATGGTAGAAAAGAGTGAGAGATCATACGATGCATTGAAAACATGTAAAAAGCAAGTAGGTTAAAGTACATCAGAGACGAAAGATAACGCTGATCTGTTTTACATTATGTGAGTATTTTCGAAATTATAAATAGATAGTAAACATATTCAACATTGATATACTGATTATTATCTAGGTTTTCTTTTTTTAATAAAAAGGCAGTTCGTATGTTTTATTTTAGAAACAATATACTTGATTATTAGTCTATCTTATTAGTAAATATAAACACGAAAGTTAATTCATCGTTAAAGCATAATGTTGTGTGAAATTAGTGTTTGATGTGGCAATAATTTCTTTCTTACATGGTTCATACTTACTGTAATAGGTGGTGCAGTACTCTTATTTCTTTCTGGTATAATTTTCTATTATTATTATGTTAAACTGAGCTATGAAAAATGGCTACAAAAATCAAATCCGAAATATCCATCATCGGAAACTGTTCGAATGGAAATAGTTATGATATTAAAAGGTCTTAGTATGGCTACATTTTGTCCATCATTAGCACTATACTTGATGGGTAGACAAAAGTTTGATGTTTATTGTGATGTTGGAAATTACGGTTCGGGATATTTAATATTCAGTTTCTTTGTCATTTGGTTAGCAACAGATTTTTTCGAATTTTTCTATCATCGAATGGGACATATGATTGATGTCTTATGGGACGTACATAAATTTCATCATCAATTTTACAATCCAACACCATTTGCTGTTATTGCTGATGCGTACTTAGATCAATTAGTTCGAGCATCCCCACTACTTCTACTGCCGGCTATAATGCCAATTAATATGAATCTTCTATTCTTTCAGGTAAGAATATATGTATAGTTATCCATCTGATCATGAATGTATCACTATGAAAACTTACTAGATGTTTCATTTCATGTTAAAACAAAACTTCGATATAAGTCTGTCTCTCAGCACGTTTATCGTCCGATGCTAAATGAGTTAAAAACAAAATAAAATAGTTCCATTTTTTTTCTTCATTCTAGTTTGCTATCTTTCTATATGGATATGGTGTTTATGTCCATTCAGGTCACGAATTCTCCTATCCGGATGCGCATCATCCAGTCCTAAATACTTCTTTTCAGCATTATTTACACCATGCCATATCAATTAAAAATAAACCATATCATACAGGATTTTTTTTCAAAATATGGGATCAACTCTTTGGTAGTGTTTTTCCACGAGAAAAATGTTTGTGTGTCAAATGTCAACATGCACAAGGACAAGGTACTCGAGAAGAATATGACAAAGTAGAAAAGCCAGACTATCGGGTGATGTTACAATGGAATTTTTGGCTTAATACTAAAACAGCTTGATGTAGTAATATTGTGCTCAATAATGAATAAAGCTTTAAAATTAAAAAAAAACTTAGTCTATTAGTTTCCTAGTGTCATCGTTTAAGAGCGAGAAAAATCTTCTGGAAACTTGTTGTGTATCAAACAAAAGGAAAATTGACAGAGTATATTTGATTTAGTGAGCAACCTAACGTCGTGCGAAGTCTGCATCGCACTAAAAACGTCTAAATTCATACCGAAAATGGTACGTGACACATTTGAAAGAAATGACAAAAATGCAATGATGCATACGGTATAAAAGGCTGAAACTTTGCGCATAATCTCGAACATGTGTGAGTATTATTATAGAATACTTGCACTCAAACTATGGATCTAAGGAAAACGAAACAAAAACATTTTCTTGTGCCCCATATATATATCCATATAAGTCTATGATATTGAAATTTGGAAAAATATTCTTCAGTTTATTGTTAGAAAGATTCAAATGAATGTAGAATCTATTTCTTGTACAAGCTAGTCATGAATATTAATTGAATTTTTCGTATATAGGAACGAAAATTTTATGACTAATCCATACATATGAAAAAAGGACTCATCTTCAGAGAATGTGTACGAATATGATTGTCAGAGTGAATGTTGAAACTCAAATTGCTATGATGTGCTCGTATTTGACAAAGAAATTCATCAAACACTATTCAAAGTAAAGTCAAATGTGAAATAATGACCGTTGTATATGATCTTTTCCTCCAATTTGATTTATGAAGATGCATCTTATTTCGTCTGTCGTGTGTTCAGCTCTTTTCTTTGCTTCTTTACTTATCATACATGATGATCTCTCTCTCTCTCTCTCTGAAAGAAACGAAACTCAATCGTACAATGAAGATAATAGATATTTGTTTTACTTGCATGTATTTTTGTGTTCATCAACGTTCCATCGCTATTGTTTAAATTGTGATGAATTGCGATCGAAACGATTGTTACTAACGCGTCAGATAGAACAATTAAAGTTGAAATATAATACGATATGAACAACTGCTTCATAGAACAATAATTGTACAGCTATACGAGATATATACTGAAATGAATCTGACTACAATAGTACATGATTCATCAGAACAAACACTAGCTGATTATTGGCAGAAGTCAAGATATGTACATTAGTTAAAAAAGACCATAGATGTTTTTTGGTAGGGTATCGCTTGTTGGCTGACTTTATTTTTTTCCTATTATTCACAAATTGAGCACATATGAATTAAAAATATGCGTTAAATTTCACTTCGAATCATGAACAACAATAATGCTTTCCTTTCTTGTGTGTATCCCAATAAATATTTAGATTTGCAAAGAAAGAACACTTTGGGCATTTTTGTATTCGCGAAATTTTAGTAATTTTATTGACTTCTAAGATTTCCAAATTTGTCTTCGTAATCCTTTGAGCTGTGCTATTGTATGGATTGTTAAAATGTTAGAAATTTCAGAATCTTCAGTTTTTGGAAATTGATCTACGACGAAAGATGAGCTAATAGAAAAATAATACAATGAAAAGAGTGCGATATATGTGTTTCGTGAAGCATATTCGTCACATATTCTAAATTTTAAGCTCTAATATGATTTATTTGATTGTCAAATGATAGCATTGCAAGAAATTCGGCTATGCAAGCAATCAAGATGTGTACTCAGAGCGAGAAAAGTACGATATTAATCATGTTTGCCAGGGGAGTTAAACTAGAGTTGAATGAGTATTCAATAAATAACAAACCACCTTAATGACGTTGCGTCTTTATAAAAAGCGAATGTTATTCTGAATAAAAGCGCCCATAATCATCGTTAAGACTGTAATTTTTTCTCGTCTTACTATTTTCGTTTGAAAAAAAATACTTGTATACACGAAAGGCAAAAACAAATATAAAAGCTGCCACTCGGCTCTTCTACAAGCACCAGTCGAAATAGAGTTGTAAAAGTAACTATTTACTTCACCATTAATCATCTTATACAAATGACTGTACGGTTTCGTTATGCTGGTTTCACTTGCATTCTTTTCTTAGGTAGGCGCATGGCATTAGTTATTTACATTGACGAGAAAATTGTTAAAAGACAAACGACTTAATCATCTTGCTTTTAGCCTTACAACAAGTAGCTTTTGGTCTAACGTGTTACTCCTGTGGGCTCTGTGACACTGTCGACAATAATACACCAACAACATATGTAGCAAACAACACAGGATACTCATGTCGGGTGAATATTGATAGTTTTCATGTCTATTCAATACCATAAATTCCTTTCTTCAATTCCTTTCAGAAAACCATTACGTTGGCTGCAAGCAAAGTAGTTACAACAAGTCGTGATGCCATAACTGGTTGCTCCGAAGTTGATGGCGTCATGGCTGGAACTGGTATCCGAATCACATGCTGTACGACCGACAGATGTAATTCAGCCATCACTGTTTCGAGTTCGATCGGCCTGCCATTCGTTCTTCTTGTCATTGGCAGCATCATTCAAAACATTTTAAAATATTGAATACTAGCTATTTGGGCAAAGAACTTAAGAATAATCTATATGAGATTCTCATACACAATTTGATTTCATTCCTATTCCACTTATGATTTCTCCCTTCTTCGTAAATATTCTTAAATAAATGCTCGCGTCTATTACATCTTTCGATATATGATTTTCATCAATAGTTTGTATACGTGGCTTTGTTACATTGGTTTCGCTCATTTAGCAGCACGAGATTTTCTATCGGTATCATTCTTCGCTCAATCATTGAGTGTCAACGAAGATATGGCGACGAGCGATGAACGGTAATCGAAAAGACTTTGAAACTTCTTGATATAAGTTCATAAGAAAAATACAACTCTCAAATATATTGTGATCGATACATGAACTTATGTCATTGTCAATCTACAAAATAAAATCCTTAACTAGGTCATTGATTAAACTCTTTTCACATGCTGAAATCAGCAGTTGATTTCTTTGAACAAATATTTACAAGAGATAGAACCAATCAGAACTTTTCAATGATAAAACGAATCAATGTGATTAGAATTTTTGATCGATGGAAACTGTTGTATCACACTGAAAATCTGCATTTAAAATTGTGTCCTGTATTCCTTTTCACTTTCCCATGTAGATTAAGCAATCAAAAAAAAACATTCTTCTACAATTGTATATCGTCCTCTTGAATCTTAGCGCTTGGAATAGGAATTTCGAGACATATATATGTGTTGGTTTGATTGCCTGTAAAAGATGGAATGTCGTCAGAAATGGAATTCTGACGAAAACTTGATGAATAGTGCTCGACAACGGCTGGATGTATCTTCCTCTTTCAAATATCAACGAAACATTTTCCTACTCTTACTATTTTGAAAATGAGATGCTTTCTTGCATATTTCCAATATTTGATTGTATCTTAATGTTATTGTGATCTATTTATTTATCTTTTCTTGCATAAATCCAATACGATTGAACCGAGATATCGAACATACTTATGAGCATTTTCTGTGCGAAGTGTTATGTAAATTGCATTAATTACCACAATCGTGTTTTAGAGAATACCTTCAATCTTCTTGTTTTCTTTGGACAAGAGTAGAGCGCGTGTTTTTTTTATTGCATTGAAGTATCACTACACTGAAAGAAAAAAGTTGATTGATACACATGTCTTCTCTTTGCTTTTCTGCGCAAAAGTAATGACCTTGCACAAGAGACGCTTGAATGAGTGACTGCTTTTATTTGCGAAGAAAAGTATTTAATACGTTATAGAAGTATGGTATACTTTATTGACTGGTAATAGTTATATTTTTTTTCATCCTTCCTTACACCCATCAAGAACAGAAAAGCTAAATTAACTGAGGTGAAATAATAATGAATCAGCCAATATTGACGATCATATTACAATGTTTTTAGACCGTTCCTAAGAAAAAACACTGGTACGAAAAATCGATTTCATAATCATAAACAAATCGCTGATAATCAGATGACACTGATTTAAAATAATTTTATTTGCCCCATTTTAAATAGGTTTTCATCAAAAATAATCAGAAGAGTCGATGAAATTTCTATATCTTTGATTATTTTAGTGTGTTAATCGATAAATATCGATGTTTTCGTGATGTTTATATAATGATTTGTTTACATTAGTTACATCCCAGTAAGACAAACTTATGCATTCAATCGTGTAGAGATAAGAATGTTCAGGATAGTATTTAGGATAATATCATTTAAAAGCCTCGGAAAGCATATTCTTACTTGTAAAATACTTTAAATTTTTCGTTAAGACGTTTCCTACTATTAAGTCTGTGGATATTTCAAGAAGTATGAATGACTTGTTAACCAAATAAGTGTACATAGAAAATTTAAAGTGCTACACAACTAAGAATATGTTTTGGAGAAATTCTATATGATATTATTCTAAATAATTGTTATTTAATTTCTCACATTTATGATAAAGAGTTAGAATCCTGAACATTCTTATCTCTCTGTACAATTGAATGCATAATATGATTTTGTGGAAGATATGCTGATTAAAGGACATTTGTATGTGACTAGAGCAAAAGGAAAGTAATTATATAGTAGAAATATTGTTATTGAATCCAATATATAGCGTGTTACACTGATTCTTGAGTGGATATTAAGAAAAAATCAGATGATACAAAAAACGACTTCAAACTCATGTAAAACTGAAGATTTAATATCACAACTAATTTATATTGGATAAGAAATATCTCCCTCTATCTTATAGGCGAGCAACTCATTGGAAATAAAGAGCATACACTTTAATACTATTTGAGTATCTCTTTCTATCTTTATAACGCAATATGAGATAAAAAGAAATAGACTTGTACTAAACAAGAAGTATTCATCCTTCCATCGCTATAAACTGCCTACTTCATGGAAGAAAAAATTTCATATATATTTAATACGAAATATCTATCTAAAGTTAAGAGTTGAGTACTTAATGGAAAAAAATGCATAAATATATATATAATAAGATACGTCTTTTTTTCTATTCATATTAGTTGCCA